AACAACGCTATCCATTATGCCTCTCTTGCCAGTGTGCAAATGCTCGAGGTTTGTGCAGTTTGTTTTTCATCTACTATCTAGCTTACCCTGATTCATAACTGAATTTTTCTTCTTTTATGAAAGATTTCCATTGTTTTGCTATAAACTCTCGTCATGCATTAAGTTTTGGCTATATAGTTTTTGTTCTATATTTTTTACATTCATTTCCATTCCACATTCACTCATTTCTTGTTCACTCATTGCCAAATTCCACTTACACTATGAAATCACAAAGATTTGAAATCAATTTAAAAACGTTTTGCCCGCTTTCAAGCGATTATTAGGATTTAAGCTGTGTTCATTTTTCCATGCTTTTCATTCGTAGCACTTCAAAATTTATATTGTTGTTTACAGCTTCTGTGGGAGTTCGAAGGCTGTCATGTGCTTTTGAATCAGACTAATAATGAAGGTTATGTTCCGCTCATGTTGGCCATACGAGCAGCGAATCCTCGATGTTTTGCTACCTTATTGAACTTTGGTGCGGAGCTTAGTATGCGCGTGCAAGGACGTAATCCTTTGTTCGAAGCCATGCAGAGTAAAGGGAAGAACACCGAGTTAGTTTTTTTACTCATTGTTTGGTGCAGATGCTTCATTCTCGTCTCTGTTAGCCTCCCTATTTTCCGAATAACTTTCGCGGGTTTGTGCAGATGCGCTCGTTTTGTGCGCCAAACTTTATACGAAACGCTTTAGTTGTGCGGAAAGTGAATAAGAAATTCCCCTGCAGATCATTACGAGGCTGGCTATATAACCACTAACTGTATTTCGTTTTCTTGACCATCGCTTTGAAAAATTTAGAATCGATCTGTTTAGCATCATCAAAGCCATACTCGAAGCTTCTCCCGATCTTGTTGCTGAACGGGACTCATCAGGCAACACTGCGTTGCATGTTGCTACACACAAAACACCGTTGATGGGCTTGTTACTGCTGAAATGTAAAGATGTGGACATGAATGCCAGAAACAATGCTGGCCAAACGCCGCTTCATATATTCACACACAAGGTAATATCTTCAAGTAAGGTAGAATATATCACTGTACAGTAATACTATTTTAGGGAGAGATCGGATTGATGATCACCTTACTTTCGTATGCATGCGATATAGACTCACAGGATAATGATGGAAATACTGCCTTACACGTCGCCGTGTCGAAAAGAAATTTAGAGGTAAGATCTTGCTTGCTTTTATCCTTTTGGCACATAATAAAGGTGCTAAAGATGTGGTAAGTGTATTAAGTGATGGTTGTAACTTGGTGTGGCAGTTAGCTCCTTAACTGCCAGACTAAGTTAGTTAACTAGTCAACTAACCAATTAATTAGTTAAGTCCATTAACTTAGTCAGTTAATTTACTTACGATATAGTTCACGTCACCAGCACCCTATATGGGTTGGGGCAATAGTTTAGTATCGAACATTATCATCTCTTTCAGCAGCTCGATTCTTACCGATTTGCTGATTCCGAATATTGCTTCCATTACAAGCTTCTTTGTCGAAAATCCATAGAATGTTATTTGAAAATCTGTCCACCATTAAAAAAGTTTTAGGCAACAAGACTTTTGCTTTGCTTGGGAGCTGATCCCAATATCAGCAATAGTCACGAAGATAGTCCTCGACATCTGGCTGCACGGCTACGAGAGTAAGCTTCTCTTTCACTTCCCCATTATCTGCAACTCAAATTCAATTCAGAAAATCGATTTTGGACGCATTAATAAAATGTGGCGCGCGAACCTGTGGACCGAGTAAAGTGGGATGCGTGTCTGGATGTGTTAATGGGGCGATGGTTGGACTGCTGAAGGTTTGCCTGTTTTTACAGTTTTTTTTTTCGATTTTTGAGCTGTTTTGTTCAGTCATCAGCTCTATCTGATTCTGAAAGCCCACGGTCGAGCAGCACTGCACTTTCAGCTCAAGATTATCCGGCTTCTGTCGACGTTGATCATCCCATAAGAGATTTTACTCAAAAGGTTGAACAGTTTGCAGCAGTGAATTACCTCTGACTTCATCGTTTACAGATGTTTTACGAACAGCTTATGGACCGCCTTGAAGATCTGGCAGCTCGTCATGAGAAGCCTAGGAATATGGTCAATCTTTTATCTTTGGACGGGGGTGGCATACGAGGGCTTGTCATTCTTCAAGTAAGTAACCTACATGGAAAAACTTCGCCCTATACAAATATGCTTACGTAATCCTTCAGGCTTTTTACGTAGTTTTAGGAGTTGTAAACACTCAAGTATCGGTGGGTAAATGTTCTGCATACCGCTGTTTTGGTTCTCATCTTAATGAACAAACAGTGTTCATCAGTTTCTCAGAATTAGCTCCGAAGGTTTATAAGCAGGATTCATTGCCATAAGAAAAAAGGGGAAATTGGGGAGATTTCTTTGAAAATCGTGTGTTTGAAAAAAAGTATGCATCAAAGTATCTGATGTTCGTTTGACGACACATCCGCCAAATTTCTACTTTAGACATTAATGGCCATCGAGAGGGAACTTGGTGAACCAATTTTTCCATTTTTCGACTGGGTAGCTGGAACATCTACTGGTGCCTTGATCGCTACAGCTCTTGCTCAAGGTATCTTTCAGTCTTTCCATAAACCATATTCTCTTTCTAGGTAAGAGGAGGTATGCAAGTGAACCTTAGTTTGTCTTTAGGCCGAACATTGAGAGAGTGTCAGCATATCTACTTACGATT